AGCAACCATCAGATACTTGTCAGAAAAACGAACCGGAAGTTCACCAACGATATTTTATCTACTTCGCGCTATGTGGCGCTTCACGTCATTTTAATTTTAAAGGTTTCAATTACTATAAACATATATAATACATACATATTATATATAGTTATTTATCTTTTAAATTATCAGCATAAAATGATTTTATATTTCTTTGTAAATAAATTATAAAGTAATAATATATTTTTTATAATAATCTTTTAATTTATGATTATAATTATATAATAAAAAGTATGTACTATATGCATTTTTCGGATATTTTATGTTCACTATAAGTTATAATATTTAATGTTCTACATAAAATATTTTATGGATACTTATAGGGAATCCTATATCGTAATTTACATTTTATTTTGTATAATACACTATAATAAACAGGCTTTTTTTTTATACATAATTATTATCTTTTGGAAAATGGCAGTAGTGCTCAAATGTATGAAGACCCAAGAAAAATGGCAGTAAATTTTTTTAATTCAAATATTTTTCAATAACGCTTAACTATTACAAATTCCAATAAAACTTTTTTTAATTTTTAACCCTTTGTGTTTATTTCGAGTTCCTCCGCTAAAATTTCATAAAACAATATATTTTTAATTATTTAGGATAGATAACTTAAAATAATAAATTAAAGTTATATAATACAATCTGAAAAAATAAATGAAGTTACAACAAGAATAACAAATTTTTTAATATCAAAATTTTATCATTCATTAAAGTAAATATCATAAATATATATTAATAAAATTTTATGTGGATTTTTATATGACAAAATTAAGCGGATATAGGTAATTGATTGAGATAACATCAAATTAAATTGGATGTCTCTGTTTAGATTGTGATTATGAAATGATTTTAAGAATGTAAATAATAACTAAAGTAAAATGCATGATGTCATAAGGATATCTAAATATGTAGTAAGATTGATTTTAAGCGAGTCAAGCGCTTAAGAGTTTAGATACAAGGAATAGTAAATAGTATAGTCTCATGATAAGAGAATTTTAAGAAAATAATTAAATTATCATTATGCGAGTTGTAATAATTTTAAATATATATATATTTATTTATATTTTTTATTATTTTATTTAAAAACTTTATATTTTTCTTTTCCAATTTATTGATTTTGTATTCGTAAAGAGATAAAAAAAATAATATTTTTTTTAATATTATAGTTTTTACTAGTTTTAATATTATATTCTTTAAATATAATAAAAAAGAAATTATTTTTTATTTAATTAAAAAATTAAATTAAAAAAAAATACTTTTTGATAGTATCATAATATGATAGAAATACTTTTTTGATACAGATAAGAAAATTTTTCAGAATCGATAAAAAATCAATATTATATGTAATTTTTATTCAGTTATAATTCAATCATATTTTATTCAACGATTTAAATTAAAATATTCAAGGCAGTTAAATTAATTATATTAAAATATCTCGAATTTTTAATTCGATTTCTATTATTCAATTTTTTTTTTTTGTCTTTTTAGTTATTAATGAGAAATCTTTTTGTCATTAAAATATTTTTATTTTATTATTAAAAATAACAACGTTATTCCTTTAATTTATTGAGTCTCTTATGAATCACGGAGTGTGCTTAGTAAATAGAAGAAAATAATTGACATGTGTTATTATCAATGTTACTATATGTTATTTTTATATATAGAGTGTTTCATTTGAAGATATCAATTGTTATTTTTTATAATAATTAGGATATAGAAACGCATGAACTTGAGAAAACGGAATTTTTTAAGTTTGAAATTATTAAATAAGAAAAATTCACATAAGGAGACACCAAGGTATGAAAATTTATTAATTAAAATTTAGCAATTTTCAATTTTCAATATTCTTAAAAATGTAATAATTTCTGTTTAAAAATATCATCACATTATATTATATATATGTCATTGATCATAAATTAGAATATAAATATTTCTTTCTTGAGGAAATCGATATTTTGCATTAAGGATTAAAAAATTCGTTTTTATTGTAGATAATTGTTTTAAAATTTTTTATCCTTTGCTATATGCATCGGAATATATTTCTCTTCTTTTTTTTTTTTATTTTTTCCTTTTTCATTTTTGATTTTTGGGTCTTTCTTTATACTATAACATTATACAATGACAAGTATACTGAGACACTGTGCCAATCCAATAGAAAAACAATATTTATAATATTATTGTGCCAATAGTATTCATTTATTCACAGCTTCGCACAAAGAAACACGACAATATTTATTTTTAATCAGAGAATAAATGATAATATTGTCGTACCTCTTTCGTCCGATTTTTGTCTAATGAATAATAACTTAATCATTAAGATCTTAATGATTTTATCATTATAGATAAGCGTAATATTTCGATTTGTCTAACAAGAGCAACTATATATGTATATATATGTATATACATATACATATATATATTATAGTCAATCATATAATTGCTAAAAGAAGTATGCGTACATTACGATTGTAAAGGAAGTAATTATTTGCGCGATGAATAAATTGTATATCAATTCTCTACATAAAATATATACTTAATCATGAAATATATATTTGAAAATATTGACTCGTAAACGCTTGCCTTTAAAATGTCTTTTCATAGAAATTCGTTTTGGGAACAATCTATATCTTGCATTTGTAATTAAATGAATAACGAATAAATAAAATGTAAAAAATATGAAAATGGAAATGAAATAGAGAAGAAATTTCATATTCTATTTACATGAATAAAATCTAACCAGATTTCAAGAAATTTCAAGAAAATGGATATCATTGATGTTGTTTGAATTGATTACATGAGATTAATGATCATCATTGCTACAAAATAAACTCTAAGATCATTTTGTATCGTTACATGAATTTTCGATGTTTGTGATGGTCCCTGCGGGATTTCATATACTTGGTGTCATATTTTTTCATTATACTTTTTATACAAAAGCATAACATGGTACGAAAGCAAAATAGGTATTTATAGATTACGGAATAGTGTAAGTGAATTTGATGACATTGATCTGATATTAGATGAAAAATTTATTAATCTTTATTTTCATAAATCGATCGAAGCTCTATTATAGTATTCAATATTGTTACGATGATTTTTTGTTGAAATATGATTGGATTTGTTTCGATCTTCCTTAAAATTGACATTTTAGAATAACATGAATGTGCATGAAGTGACGAGTGCTCAGAAAATGAACATGATGTTTTAATAAAAATATGAGTTAATTTATAAAAAAAAAATCTGTTCTTATTTATTTTTATTATCGGACGGAAAATACTTTTAAAGAATTATAAAAAAAATTTCTATAATTATTGATATACATTAATTTGTTTTTTCTCAAAGATAATTACATAAAAATGATAGTTATATAAAAAAAAAAATAAATAGTACGTCAATATCTTAGAGCACTCGTAGAAACGAGGCTATGAAAATTTGCAAATGTATAGAAGCATTCGTACAGACAATGAGGAAGTGCATGCTGATGTAGTCGAAGAAGAATCCTACGAAAAATTCTATAAATTCTATACCACAATACTGATCATTACATATAACACGTTGGCTGTATTGATTTTGATTAATATATTATATCTATGCTTGTCTTCTATTTATTTAACAATATATTTATTTAATATATGTGATCCATTTCTATGTTTTAATAATTCATCATGCGTAAATACGCGTACAATCAAAAAAGCATCAATATTCGTGTATCGATCAAAAGTGGCCAACGTGTAAAAAGATAATAAATTTAAAAAAACATAATTTATAATAACGTGCAATTATAATATCAATTAATAATCTACATTGCATCTAATTGAAAATATATGTATAATTTTAATAACGTCTGATTACATGATTTATAAACAAAAATAAATGCGAAATAAATTTATTATTATTTTATCGTCGCGTTTGATTTGTTGATATGCTTACGATATATTGCTCCGGCTTGAGAGCCATCGAATAAATAAATAGTATATTGGAATAAATAAATAAATAAATAAAACCAATTGATTGTGATTTATATCTAAGCAGTTACGACTAAGCTTTCGTACAAAAATCTTAACGTTAAGAGAGGAAAGATAGATCTTTGATTGTTGGACGGAGTCGTGCAAAAAAGAGGAGCGATCTTAATTGTTTCATGTCGTTTGTTAAATTCTTTTTCTTTTCCTTTTTATAAAAGTAAACAGTTGTAAAATTGGTCGAGAATAGACAGATCAAAGACAACATATATGTAGAATATAAAATAATATATATTATTCATAAATACTCAATATTTAATTGGCAAATTAAATTTTATCCTCTTCATGTAAGATAAATATTATTTGTCTAAGAAAAATGAACTGTTTATCCTCGACTACTTTGATTATAGCTTATTTCATGAAGAAATGAAATCTTTACAATATTTCTACATTTTGTACAAAAAAAAGAGAATAATTAAAGTCATCGATAATATTATTTAAAAGTAATATTATCTATGAGATTAAATAACATTATCTACGAGATTATTTTCTCTTTTGCATGATACCGTACAATCCGTTATGTCGGTATATTATTATACGCTCGACTGCAATAGTACAAGCTTGTACTTGTATATTTAAAGCGGTAGACTCAAACTACGGATTCGAAAAACAAAAAAGAACATTCGGTGCTTTTTAGTATAATGTATAAAACGATTAAAATTTTATTCCGAGCTTCTCAAAGCACCGATAAACCATGAGTCTACCGCTAGATCCTAAATCTAAGATGAACAATGCTTTATTATTCTCAAAAATACTGTAGTACAAGAATACCTAAGTTATGTCGAAGCTCGTTCCACGCGCTCGGACGAGCACAGAAACTGTATTAAGTATGAACTGATACACTTCCTTCTCTTTTTTGTTTATTTAAGATAAGATAAAAGAGGCGGGATGACGCTGAAACTACATTCTGGCTGGAAACTGAATTAGTGATTTCAATTCTTCAGTTTCATTATTTGATACTGTCAAAGTTCACCTCTTTAAAAATCGGAAAAAGCCTCGACCCTTTTCTGGTGGTGGTGCCATTAACATTGGTACTTGGTTCTTATGTGTTATATGAATCTAAAATAACAAAACATTTTGATGATATTTTGATATTTATATTTTGATATTTACAATATATAAAAATAAATTATAATATATATAATTAAATTGTTATTAAATATTTAAAAAATCAACTTACAGTACATGGACCCTGCATCCATGGTTCACCATCGATTTGCATTGGAAAACGTTTGCTAGTAGTAATAGTGACGCTACTACATTGAGCCAATCTTCTACCGGAATGACGAAGTCCAGTTTTCACTTGACCCATATGCAAACAATTTTCTAAACCGATCACTTCTATGAGATTGTCTCCAATATCTATAAATAATATTTTTTCAATTCGTTAAATAATTTTATTTCATTAAATAATTAATTATATATTAAGTGCATACCTTGTATTGCCGCTGTAAGATCTACGGAATTAAAACTGCTAGTACTGAGTTCTTTGTCTGGTCGTTTTTTCCGTTTACCAAGACGACGATGTCTTGTATGATGTTCACCCCAGAGATTAGAACCTCCATGAGTAAAAGGAATGTTTAATAATGCGACACCTTGGAGAGAAGGTCCATGTGCTAAATCCAACGGAGTTCCATCACACTACAAACAAAAAAATGCAATCAATATTATTGGATAAATGAATTTAAGCAAATTTACATACAATGATTTCGAGATCTTCGTGAAGATTTTTACAACTGGCAGCAAATTGTTCCGTGGTCGCGTATTCAAAATACCAAAGTTTATTTTTCATTCTACTATTGAATTTTTCGGGATTTTTCTCTCTTTCCATATGAAATTTTACACAGATCGCTGCGTCCACACCCACCGAGAAATAATTGTTAATGATATTATACGGTATACTATCTTGATTTGGTTTTTTCTCATCTTTTTGGTCAAGCACTTCTATTTGCCAGCGATCCATCATCACAGGCGTTGCCTTCTCTATTTTCTAAAAGTTATATTAAGAAATAATATTAAATATTTTTAAAATATTTCTAAATTTTTTTATTAAAATATTTTCAATTATTATTTTATTACATACTTTGAGAACTTTGTGAATAGCTTCTCCTTCATAACCACCACCCCATCGTAAACATCTTGCAAGATCATTTCCTGTACCCAATGGTATAACACCTACAGCGGGTTGATGTTCGAATTGAACACGATCTGAAATTCAAAGACAAAATACTATTTATAAATGAGTTTTTTAAAGACCGAATTCCTAAATTATTAATCATACCCATTGTTTCTAAGACCCAGCCAACAGTTCCATCACCGCCGCAGCAAATCACCTTAAAGTTTTCTACGTCTTTGAACATTTGTAAACCTTGCATAGGTCCACCCATGGCCAAATTATGAACTTGGCGCGGATTCAAGATGTATTGGAATTTCCTCAACATACGTTCGCCTTGCCTCCCTCCAGATTTTGGATTTATAAACACTAAGAGTGGCACGATCCCTGATGGTGGTGTAATTTGGAAAGACATTGCTGGTTGTTGATTAGTAGCTGTTCCAGATGTTAGGAATCCACTCTGCTAATAAAATTACTAATGAACACTATTTAATTGATTATATATTTAATTATATATCTTATTACACTCTTACTGTGCTAACAGTTGATGAATCTTGCCCATGTTTACTTCCTCTTTTACTATCTCTTGATAACGATCTTTGTCTGTCCAAGACAACTGGACAAATCGCTGTAGGAGGGAGGATATGAACTGCATATTCACCAAGTGTACATTCCGCTCTTATTTGCGAAACACATCTGTTATGCAACTGTAAAGATTTTTGTTCTGAGATTAATATAGTTCATACTTTATTATTTCTTTTTTAAATCTGATTCGATGAAAAAATATAATAATTATAAAAGAAAAATTACTTACTGTTATTTGACACCATCTACAGTGTAAACCCGTGATCCCATTATAACTTTTAATAGTTTTTTTACATTTGAAGCATTTTCCGTGACAATTTCCTTCGACCCAATGATGCGCCATTGTCTGGGACGTTTTTTTACTTTTAACGTAGGTGGCAATACAAGAAGCTGGCGCCCTTTGAACACACCTTTCATGGACTGTGTACTTGCAGACTGTATAAAAGAAAATAATTCGTTTGTTTCGTATTTCCATGCAAATGAAAAGAATTATTGGTATTCAAGGTATTGAATTATTTTTTTCTTTCTTTTCGATATCATTTCAATATATATAATAATAAAAAGAATATATATTTTATAAAATTATTTTTTTTACGGATTATTAAAAAGTACAAAAAAGAAAAAAGAAAAAAAAAGAAAAAAGGAGAAGAAAAAATATATATATATATATAAGAAAATTATCGGATAAAAATTTTTCTTAACAAAACACAATGCAAAAAAAAAAAAAGAACAATGCGACATCAAAGAATTTCTGATAATACTTACAAACACAGCAAAGACCCTTCTTTCCGAGACCGACTAACATATTTAGACAGAGATTGCAATAAGCGGGTTTGCTAAAGTGTTTTAGCCTCCAGAGATGGTTACCATCTTCCTTTACGTGAGAATCCAAGCCCAAAAGAACCAATAAAGGTATCGTTGTAAGACCACCTCTTTTCCATTCTTCTAAAGACACTGTACCATCCGCATCATAATCTATTTCTATCATCATGTCTTGCAGTATCTATAAATATTGAGAGAACTTACATTTAGATATCGTTATCAATTTCCCATTTTTTTGCTCTCTATAAACAAAGAAACTTTAAATTTTATATATATTTCTTACAAACATTTTTTTTATTTGACTATGAATGCATACACGATTATAAATATATTTATTCAATGCTCGAATTTTAGCAAATAATTAGTTATTTATTATAACGAAAAAGAATTATTTTCAGATATAATAGAAATGAAATTATCATGAAGCTAGTTATTGGAAAAGAAAGTTATTAATGATTAAATTATTATTTAATTATTAAATTATTATTATTATTATATATCATAATATTATTAAATTATTATTTTCAATTCACCGGTTTCAATTCCGTGACATCCCATCCGAGATACTCGGCGACATTCATCATTTGATTGACAATGCAGTCCATTCCTAAAAATAATAGTAATGTTATGATATTAAAATTTTGGTTACAATAGATAAAGCATTTTCAAATCAATCTATTTCAATTTGTTGACAAATTTATCAATATAATAATTATATTGATAGACGTATCTATGATTAATCGATCGATTAAATATTCAGTATGATGTATGGTTCTTTATGATATAAAATCTGTAATTTTTCCTTTCAAGATTGAGAGAGGATTATTGGAGAATTTTATAAATAAAAAGAAAAATTAAAAATTGACTAATTATATTCATATACAGAATAATAATAAATAATAAATGATATAAAATATAATATTTAAATTAAATAATAAAATTCACTAAATTTTTGTTTCATATTCATATCAAAATTTTACAATTTTATCTTTGCTTTGAAATTCCAATGAAATTAATCGAACTATCGAATTTATTAATAATTAAAAGTTAAAATTATGTTGTGCTCCAGAAAAAAGAAAAAATTAAATTTTTTCTCATTTTACTTACATTGGTATCAAGAACGCCGTTTCCATCTGTATCATATAGCCGGAACATGACTGGAAAAAAGGAAGAAACGTGCAACAAGTTGCAATAGATATGCAAGTTCAAGTGCATTGTATGCGAACGTAGATAGCGAATCAGTCTTCTGAAGAAACAATTGATGCTACATATGTTGGACGTCTGAATCTGAATGTTTAAAAAGTTCGGAATACATTGTTTAAATATTCGAAATATTAATGATAAAATTTTCTTTTATCGAATTATGATTCACAATAAAATATAACAACGCCTTAATGAGAAGAAGTTGTTCATGAACTCAGAACGAAAATATTCAAGGTTTGTCCTCATAAAATGTAATTAACTTTGATTGATACGAAAGAAACGATTACTTACACTCTAATTTATCTTCTGGTCTGCCAGCCTCTAAAAGAGAAAGATAGCACACGATATCCTTGAGACTGACTTTAACCGAGTGGACGTCTATTGTGCTTTGCTTTCTAACGAGATGTCTCATTTCTAAAAATTGAAAGATAATAAATGAAGTTAAAAATTTTGATCGATTTTAAATATATTTTTTAATTATCACTTTAAAATCTATCACGAAATCTATAATTTATTTCTTTACTTTAACTCTTTTATTACTATCATTTTTTTTAAATAAATTTTATTTTTCAAATAAAATTTTTCTTCTTATAATACTAATAATTGATAGAATACACTTTACCGAAACAAAATAGTAAAT